TTTTATTTTATTTTATTTTATTTTATTTTATTTTATTTTATTTATATCCCGCCTATCTAGTCACTTAAGACCACTCTAGGCGGCTTACAACAAGCGTGATACAATATAATTAAAACAATTTTAAAAAGGGGACAAACTTTGGACAAGATGGAACAGACACTAGGAGAGTGGGTTTCTTTAGTCGTTTCCAATATCTGAATTCCAGTCCAGTTTACTCCTTTTCACCCTTCCTCCTCAAATTCTCTTTCATTACATGCACAAACCCACACTCTGGCCCTCCAAAAATGATTACAATTCTTTTTTTTTTGTAGTTTTAGTCACCTGCACAACTCCAGGTGTTTATGAAAAAAAGTAACCGTTGTGCAATATAGCATTCCAAAGAGTTGATGGCTGCCAGGGTGGGTGTGTCAAGGTTAAATAAAAATGCTAGTGTTTGGAATGGATTTAACTGCAGAAGGCAGATAATTCCACAGGGCAACTACCAATGGAAGAAGGTTTATCACTTTCTTTCTCCCATGGAGAAATCCATAGATCTCTCAACAAGCTTAGTTCTGAACACTGTAAGTGGCCTGGGAGATTGTTACAGGTCCTATATATCTGCTATAGCGGGAAACCTTTTTTGAGGTCATCCTTATCTGTAGGAGTGCCTCCATTCTGTAATGTGAAATCATAGCATCGTAGAATCTGAAGGTGTCTTAAGGGTCATTTTATTTATTTATTTTATTTATTATATATACTGCCCATCTAGCCAAAGGCCACTCTGGGCAGTTACAGCGTGACACAGAACAATAAAAATTACCACTATGAGAAATTGGATGGAGAGATGAACAAGATGACACTTCTTTTCCACCTCTTTGAGCAGCAGAAATTCCATTACTGAAAAGCGAAGCTTTACCAATAACGAGTCTTTATGGGTGGCTATGGCTAAGGAAATATGCTATGACTGGGATTCCTACAAGTTATCCCGAGGTTAAACCCCACCGAACAAAGTGGGCCTTATTTCTGAGGAAACACATCTACTCTTGTCCAGAAAGAGGGTCTTCCTGACATCAGGTTTAATTAAAACACAGCAAATGAACTTGGCTGTGTGTTTGTATGTAGGCATGAACTAACAAAAATGTTTAAATAGTAGCTTTATTTTGGTGAACTTTTCTTTCTGGGAACAGTAGGGGCTATGCCCCTGTTTTAACCTCCTGACATGACTTGCCCATTAAAGTTCACATTAAAATATAACCGTCTTTAAGGTGCTACAAGGTGGTTATGGTTTTTTTAATTTTTTTATTATTTTAATTTTCTTTGGGTTTTGCCCAAAATGAAAACAATTCTTGGACTGGGGAAACAGGGGTTCAGAGGAGAAAATGCAAAGATCCGGCACCCCAAAAGAAGGCATTGGGGGAGGGGCAGCCTGGAAGGGGGGGGCTCCAAAATGGCGGGAAAGGAACTGGCCGGAGATGCTCTGTCAGGAAACAAATGGAGGGCAGGGGAGGGAAACTGAGCTCCCTGCCCACAGCTGAGGGGAAAAGGCCATTGGCATCCATGACGGTGGAAGCAGGAGAAAAAAAAATCCAGACTTATCTCAGGGGCTGGCTTGTCTGAATTATGCTGAGGCAATGCCACCCCATTC